AATACATTATCTTAACTATTTTTAGTATCTTTTCTTCACGCCAATACACTCTCACATGTCCTTATACAGACGTATAAGGAGTTTCATAGCCGTCGAACAGTAATAATATAAAATATAAATAAAATAATATATATATATATATATATAAAATATAAAATTGAAAATTTGTAAGGACACATATTTCTCAAATACTTTCGCAAATGGACTAATTAGTGAAATTGGCCTAAAATTACAGATGTCGTGGTTATCACTCGACTTGAACAAGGGCTTAATGTTTGCAACTTTAAGTTTATCTGGAAATGTCCCCTCCTCAATGGAACAATTAATTAAAAATGCTAGAGGTTGGCTAAGGAAACTAAATGACATTTTTAAAATATTTGCACTAATTTTATCTGCGCTAGTAGAGTTGGAGTTTTTAAGGTTACTTATTATTGATATTATGTCACTGCTTACAGCGGGTTGAAAATATAAAGAGTGACATATGCTATACATACAATATTATTTACATATAAAAACTCTATTTCCAAATTCTGACGAAGCGCAAGGAATGCTTCAGTTGAATTGAAGAAGTGTTATTAAAGTATCGAACAACTACCAACTTCAAAACTGGTAATAAATAATGCGAAAATCTTTTTTTCTGGATGGCAAGCAAGTGCCAGAAACTGTTGGCAAGTTTTGCAGTGAAAAAGTTACTACATTCATGATCATATTAGATACCCGTCTTATCTTAGATTGCTTATCCAATATTTATCTTGCTTATCAAGGCAAGAATGTCCAGTTCTAAATCCCCCCGTATAGATCAAGCTTAGCACAGTAAAGCAATAAACTGCAGAGTCGCACTCACAAGAAACGTAAGGGTAAAGCCGAATGATCAAAATGATAGGCCTCGCTAGACCTAAGCGGTAGATCTGGCAACACTGCCGTCGAGCGGCCATCCGCTCCACGCTACGATACGCGGCGCTGCTCAACCAATAAGGAGGAAATATTCACTGAAAATCGTTAAGGCCCTTCTGCTAAATTGAATTGAGGTATTGTAGTAGGCTTAGGATTCTTAACGAGCATACATCGGGGTCACGTGGGTTAGTTGAGGTAGGAGAAAGGGTTATCGCAACCAATAATCAAAACTGCATATATGCTGAACAAAAAATGAACTTAAATGACAGTCTTTTCCGCTGATATAGCTGAGTGATTTGTTGATATCTATGACCAGGTTGTCAGCTATTAAAGAATCTTTAATGACGAGAAACAACAATGCTTTGATACACCACATTATTTATACATTTATTTAAATTTACAGAAATATAAGTCTTTCAATTTGGCACTTAACTAAACCGAAAAATTTCAGAAGTTGGGCAATCTAAGTAGATGCAAACTCCCAACTATACACATGACCTTGATTAGTAACGTGCCTCAGAGCTTCAAGCATTTCCAAGCTAAAAAGCTCCTATCTTCCCGTATTACTAGTTATTTACTTAACGCCGCAGGTTTCGCCAGTCATCTAGTTTCATCAGTATGAAAGGTACTCAAAGTAGTGTGCATAACGAACATATTTCTGGGCTGTAGCATAGCTCCTTAAATGCGTACGCAAAAAGCTATAACTTGAACGCCGATGAAACATTGCGTATCTGGAAAAATAATGGCAAACGTTCGGTAGAGTAGGTCATTTCATTTTGTGAGAAATTTCTTTTAGATCAGCTATTTTGAAAATATAGGGAAAACATACAGGGTGACTTTGAAGTTGAGTCATTAATTTTCAGATAATGATTGTAGAAGGAAGATAAACCAAAATATGTGTGTAAAAATAAAAAAAAAAATTTACCTTGTTTTATAAAGTATCCTCCCGACAAGTATTTCAGTGCGGACCTGTATTTGATCGTGAAGTCTTGGAGCACCGGCATGCCGTCCATATGTGAGGTCTTAAGTCAAATGATTCACGAACCCGTTGTACTACATTAACAAAGGCACGAGGGGTTGGTTGCACTCGATTGGGAAACCGATCCGCATAAACATGTGCCATTTTTTATTTCGTTTGAGCCACGCAACAGACACCACTATCCACTACCGACTGACACTGACTGTATACAACTGAATGAAATAATTGTAAAAACATCGTTCCAAATTCTTTCTCTTTTTTGTTTCCGATGCGATGAACCGATAAGGCGAATTATATCCGTTGTCGCCAAACACGAGCACATAATATTATTATTGAGACAGGGCGGTACTCAAACTTCCAAAGGGCTATAACTTTGTTACTTTAATTTTACCAGAAAAATAGTAAAGGAAAAAATCATTTCTTTTGATCAGATCTACTCACTGTTAAAATAAATGACTGAACTTCGATATATCAATCTCGAAAGTTAAAAATCACCTAACCTTGCACCTCGCTATTCAAATGGATTATTATGGCGCTACATCGTATAACAGCACACCTTGTTGAACACCCTGACCGTTAGTGAAATTAAATGGAAATTGATTGCCTTCAGTTTAGGTGGATGGTGACCCTAGTAGCTATAGTGATAAGACAGGTGCTCCGCGAGATGAACTACCCTATTGTGTTTGACCGTTATTAAAAAAGTACTCAAAAAACATACATATAGTTGATAATTCTATGGTATGGCATAACATTATATGCTTTAAAATATGACTGCATTCTGTTCAATATTCACAATTCAGTAGAAGGGGTTCGACGGTATGGAAAAAACCCTAAATCCGATACACATGGCAATCTGGTCGTCGGCAGTTAGAGTGAGTTCCTGTTCCCGTCGTGACCTATATTCCTGGATCGGGACCCACCCCTTGCCCTACTCTCGCCATTTGGGTCGCCGACCTTACCGTAGTTGTGGATGGGATCAGTTATACGGTCAAATCGTATTAAGAATTGGTTAAAATAATTCCCTAAGATGCTACAAGCAAGATGAAATCACGTTTTCTATTTTTTACTTTCCACGCCACTGGCGAGAAAGTATAGTAATTCCAAAAGTTTCGAAAACAATACAGGTATATAATGTCTTTTGGATGTTATATGACATGTATATCACGAAAAACCATCACTCATTGAAAAGTACAGAAAAGAACAGATTTTGATAAAATTTTGATACAAGGTCGCCTTTATGCTAAGTAGGGCTTTAGAACTTTTGATAATCAATAGTCAGTGTCGGCAGAGTTATAGGCAATACGCGGAAAAAATAAAAATCGCACAAACGTCTTCTGATGTTTCAGAGATCCTCGATCATTTTCAGAAAAACTTGATGAATTAAAAATGGCGGCTGGGGGTTTTAGGGTGTGGGTGAGGGTATATCTCAATTTTTGGCGATAATATATTTACATGCTCCTAATCCAGCAAATTCTACGCGCCTATTAGTACATACTTTACAATTCATTTATTGGCTTGTACATTTGAGCTTAACACTTTAAATGTTTTCAACAGGCGCGTCACGTATCGGTCTCACGGCAACGACAACGTTTACCAATGTGCACAAAATCCTGCCTGCGCCTAACCGCTTATCGCTCACCGCTGGCGCTGGCTTGTGGCATAGCTGACTGGTACAATTCTGCAGCCTTGCCAGATGCTCGATACTATCCGTAGGGCAGGGCACAATTTTCTAGATCGCACTGTTATCAAATGGGTAGGGACAACAGACTAATTGTATGGGCCTGTTTGGCTGACTAGATCTATTCAATTTGTTATTATATATGTTCATTGCTAACTTATTCCTGAGATTTCTCATATTCCAAAGGCAATTGTCATTGGATTGTCATCCACTACTAAAAATGGTAAATATTCGACATCGTTACACTACAACTTTTAGAGTCTATTTACTATCAACTAAAGCCAAGGTTCACCGAGATGCGTAGGAATCGGAGCAGCCTGAAAGACTGCAACTGACTGCTCGGAGGTGTTTTCAAACTAATATTTCAGTTAATTCTTTCTACTAAATTACCACGAAGACATAGTTCTTTTATATACAGGGTGTTTTCAAACTTGAGTTATTTATTTTAGTAGCCTGTAGAACTCGTCAAAAGAAGTTGATATACCAAAAATCGCCTATATAAAAAGTTGCATAATAAGAGAGTTAGTTTACATTATCAAAAATTATTTAAAAAAAGTTATTATCAAGTCAAATGGATACCGTTTTTACAAAAACTGTTCAAAATTGTCCCCATTTGTTCTATTAACGCAAAATCTTGTAATGACTCCACTTTGAAAACACCCTGTATATTATAAGTTATCTTACAGATGTAAATATTTTCAAACAGTATGTCAGGAAGTGTGACGAAAGAACCTCAAGGAAACGTCTCAATCAAGAAATATACAGTATAGATTATTAAAAACTCTGTAGATGCCAAGATAGAACAAAGAATCGTGAGTTCTTTAGTTTGGATAGTATTCGTTGCTGTAGGTGCGTTTGTGTAGAGTACTTCTAATCAAAGGCGTTAAAAAATACCTTATAAATAAAAGAAAAGAGCTATCAAAATTGCATAATTATCTGAAGAATAAATGGATATCCAACATTTCCAGTGAGTCTTGAAACTGACTCTTACATAGTAGCCGGAAGTACTTAAGGGGTTATAGGTATCAAAAATATCCACTCGTCATCCTGGTGAGCTTCTGATGTAACAATTCAATTCAGGTGCAAGAGTTAATATTACTCATCTGTACTAGATCTAAAGTTAGAAGTCATCGTTTATATGTGGGTATGTGTATATTGAATATACCTGTGTGTAGGTATGGTGAAATATTTTCCAGTGAAAGCTTTCTCGGCTCCGGTTCTAGCGCTCACCAGTCAATCCGTAGTATTCACCGTATGCCAAAACATCTTTTCGAACGATCATCTCAAATAGGCCAGTCCAGAAATTCTTTGACTTCCTGATTCCCAATGACCATCAATCTTGGCCTAGGCTGTTTTAGAGGATTCTGTATTTGCTGCGATTCCTCATATCGGATTCATATTACCCGCAGATGTAGGCAAAGTACTAATTATATGATTTTGTGTTTTCAGTAGCAATCAGCGCGATCCCGAAAATTGTATGCGAGACGATAAACGCGTTGGAGCTGCACGATGAGACGCCCTCGTGGAAAATCATGGACAACAAGGGGCGCGTCACCGTGGTGCTGCACTGGGACCAGCGGGGCGCGGGCGGCGGGGGGCCTTCGTCGAGGGCCCCCTCCGAGACATCCTCTCCGGCGCCCGGCAAGTTCTCACCCTCAAAACGGCCGTCGCTGGTCATCCAGACGGCCAAGAAGGAGACCGTCATCAACGAGGTGTACGGCAGTGCGGCCGCTGCTGCTGCCGCTGCCGCAGCCGCTGTCGGTCAGCAACCACGGTATGCTAGCCCCCAGATCACTGTGATAAACCATGACGAGGTAATATATCACTATGAAAGAAATAAGCCCTTATCTCACTGTCCACTATGTACAGGGTGGCCAATATATAACTGACTGATTTAAATTGCGCGCCATTTTTGATACACGCATTTCAGTAGGGGGCGCCATAGCAGTTGTTTGAAGCACATGTGTCCAATTCATCATAGAGTGCTACATGATCAAACAACGCGTCCGTATTGCTTAAACTTTCCACTTAAATAATGAGTGGATTGTTGCAACGAGTCGGAAGCTACGACAAGATTTCGGTCGAAATAATATGCCCAGTATTAACACAATTCGTCAGTTGGTGCCGACATCTGAACAAACAGGTGAAGTTAAAGACTGGCCAAGGTCGGGCCATGTTCGAACTTTTTCGTACTCCGGAAAATATCGAGATAGTTCGTGAAAGTGTAATGGATCGTACTGATACGTCTACCAGACATTGTTCTCAAGAACTGGGTATTCGTCGCACGTTATTATGCACTATTTTAAAGAAAAACTTACATTTGCGGCGATACAAAATTCAGTTAACCCAATAATTACAACCTAGTAACGGAAGCGATTGCAAACATTCCTCCCGAAACCCAGCAAAAAGTGATGGAAAATGTAATCAAGAAGGCTCAGGTCTGCACGGCATCTAGAGGCGGACATTTGTCTGATATTAATTTTCATACATAATTTCTAAGTTTCAATAAAATATTAAGATGAAAAGATGGACGTATTTAATTTCATTTCAAAAACGATACAAATCAGTCAGTTACATACCGGCCACCCTGTACCTTTATTTCCTTCGGGTTCTTGGAACCGAAAACAAGTTCTAACTGATTTTTTTTTAAACAACCAACATTTCAGCACTTTCCTTAAGCTCTCTCAGGGATAAAACGACGAATAAATTTGTGAACTCCAAAATAGTAAATGAGATAATGAAGTGGATTAGATAATTTGGAAAGATTGACCAGGAAAATGCATCAAGATGTAAAAAGCATATAATAAACATATATGATTTTTCAGATCTCAACAACTCCTAAGCTTCTTTAAAATGGAAGATTACAAGGAAACAGATTAGCATATCACCAGATTTAAATAACAACAAATATTTAAATCTGTATGAAGGTCAGCTCATACTTTCCCATTGAATGACACACAAAAACACGTCTCAGTGGATAACAAACATCTCGTAGGTCAAGTATGTAAAACAAAAAATACATATAAGAATAAAATGTGAAAAATCAACAACAAAATAAACAAATCATTCTAATGCTTCATTAAACCATCTGAAGCAAGATTAAAGAAATCCAGACTGTTTGATTACAGATATGTGTATACGAGGAACAGTCATGTATCCTGAGACAACATGACTGCTCATGGTTTAAGTTTGAGGAATATCTTAACCAAGAAGTTATGTATCTGATTGAAGTCGTCAGTGTCTATTTTTTTGTTCGCAACATTGTTATATAAAATGATAAAAGCCATTTTGCTAATTGAATGTTTTTTGTAATTGGCTTTCATTGTCGCATAGACAGACCAAATCAAGGTTGAAATTATGATTGCCCTGAAAATGATGCCAAGTTCGTGTGCTCCGTCTACTTCACCGCAAAAGAATTTTTGTGGTGAAAGTGTATTTTTTAAGTTTTGTTTAGGTCGACTTATACACATCATTTACATTTTGTATACTAAATTAGATTTACAGCCAATGTGCAGTGAGGAATATAACATTCCCAACGTTTTTTTATTGTAAAGCATTATTCTTGTCATGTCGGCTAATGGGTAATATTAAATCTTTTCCGATAATCCTTCAACATGTAATATTTCATTACTTGATGATTCTGGTCTTTTGTCGTTCTTAGTATTATTGATTAAATTACCATGTTTTCATAATGGCCATTGAGCTCGAGTTTGTTTTTGAAAATAGGTAAATCCCGTTCAGTGAATTGTGGGCGACTTAATTTAACAACTTTGTATTTTAGTGAAACCATGATTTTGTATTTTTTTAAAGGGATGGTAAGAATAAAAGTCCAGCATCCCGTCTGAGGTTTCTTGTACTAACCAAACAGCACTAAACCATTTTATGTACGTATCAGACGTCTAGAAATACATTAAAGCAAAAACGTTGGCTATTTGAAAAAGATACCATTTAGAACTGCTCCAACAACCTGAAGAAATTAAAAGTACATTTTTTCACCTGGTATAAATTATACGAGAACTGTGACGCTGTACAAATGGTAAATATAGAAATTTTTGATGTATCGATCAAAATTACGATTTTAACTTCATACTTTGAACATCTATAGACAAACTGCAAACTGAAAAGAAGTAACATACAAGGTGTTCTAGAAAGAGATATTTTTCCTGCTAAAAGATCAGCTTTTCGTCAAATTCTATTGTCAAGTCATTATTATACAGGGTGTAAAAATTAAGATCATTATATTTTGACTTCTAGGAACTAGTTACACGCTCTGGTAAATTCTATATAAAATTTCGAAAATGCTTATTTTTTACATTCGATATAAACGTCGGCATCAGCAAGTAATTCCTCGGGCTTGCTGTCGAACTCTTCTTGTGAAAAAAATTGTTCTTAAGGCAGAAAGTTAGACGTTCCATCAACTCCACCAGTTATAGCTCCTTCTTAATATTCTTCTACTACTTCCTAGGATTGTGCCTCCTATATCCTATTCACATTTTCCCAAAAAAAAAGTTATAGGATAAACATTTTCCGAGAGATGTATAGTTTATCTGAAGTCACTTGAAACACTGTGAAATACCGGGTGCGTTTTATATATCTATATTTAACACGCTCTGTTGCTGCAAAAATCGCCAAATTTCGCAGCAAATATCCCCCGTATAAGATCAAAGGCAGTTTCACCGGTCCACGTGGAGTAAAGCACGCCTATGCGTGGACATAGCCAATGAGAAAGCGTGTATTTCAGAGCTCCGAAAAAGTGCAGGTGGCTACTGAAAATTGAAACAGTTTAGCCAGTGCCGTGTAGCGGTGAATAAACGTGTTTTCTTTAGTCTGTCCGTGTTTTTTCATAGATTTTATTAGTTTGTGTGTTTTTGACTTTTGAATACTCAGTTTACTTGTTGATTTAATTGTTGTGTTGATTGTTCTTGTGTGTCCTAAATATGGCTCTTTGGAGACCTTGGAAAAATGCTCCAAGCCACGAGGAGATGGTTGATGAACCTGTGCAGGCAGAATTCTTTCATAAAGATTTAGAGGAACAGACCCAAAGAGTAATCCTAAATATGTATGATTGTTTGAAAAACGAAAATCCAGATTCCTCGCAAAATCAAATTTTAAACAGAATTTGTATCCTGACAAAAATCAGTCGGTCTACCATTTATCGGGTTATAAAAAGGGGAGATGTAGTCAACCATTCCTTCCACAGAAAGCGCATAGGGCAAAAATTAAAAAGAATAGACGTGGGTTTTCAGGAAGATATTCGTCGTATAATATACGGATTTTATAAAGAAAATTTGGGGCCCACGTTGGAAATGATACGGGATAAATTAAAAGATTATCCTGAAGATTTTTATAATTACAAATGCTTAGACTCACTGCACTGTATTGTAAAACTGTGTGTAAAATTAGATAAAAGAATGGTGATTATGGAGTCGTCTCGAATCTTTGAATTGCGCCAAGAATTTTTGCACAAAGTTAAAATCTATAGAGAGCAGAAAAGAAATCTGATTTACCTGGATGAAACGTGGTATGATACCCATGATGTTGTGCAGTACGGCTGGGTTGACGACAGCAACAATTGCATTTTAAATGCACTATGCAACCGTGGAAAACGAATCATTATTCTCCATGCTGGCAGTGAAAATGGATTTATACCTAATGCCTTGCTGTTATCTGCCAAAAATATCAAAGAATCATGTGCCGACTATCATGAGGACATGACCTCCGACTTATTTGAAAAGTGGATAGAGCAGCAGTTAATACCAAACATTTCCCCAAATTCAGTGATTATTATGGACAATGCGCCATACCATTCCCGACAGAAAAACAAAATTCCGAATACAGGCACAAAAAAACAAGACATTATTGATTTTATGAAGGATAAGGGAATGGAAATACCACAAAAATCAACCAAAGCCATATTATTGGATCTTATTAAAAGACAAAAATTTGAAAAAGAGTATGTTGTTGACAATCTGCTTCAGCAAAATGGCCATGAAGTATTACGTCTACCTCCCTATTACTGCATTTTTAACCCGATTGAGTTGGTCTGGGCTGCTTTAAAAAAAAGTAAGAAAACATAATCAGACCCCTCAATTAAGTGAATCGCTATTGGCCACAATAAGAGATGCAGTATCTCATATTGCTGCCACAGACCTATGGAAGCAGTGTTCTAGGCATATTATTGAAAAAGAAACTGAATATTGTGTTTTGCCTCCTGTAAATCCCGTTGTAATTCCTCTACAAGATGACTCTAGCGACAGCTCCGAAGGCGAGGATGATATATAAATACCTATAATGTAAGTCGTTATATAACTTTTTATATACCTACCTGCTATGTAAATATTTGCCTATGTCAAACGTTGGAATTCTGTAATTTTTCCATTTCTTAACTTTCAGTCAACATAAATTAAACTCCCAATATAAGTATTTTTTATCCCAAATCAAAAAAATAAGAAGATAGTAAAATCCATTTATTGTGATATAAAAACATTATTATTATCGTTCTAAATAAATCACCGCACGCCTATGATACGTCATGAAATTACAAAGGACGCGCCGACCAAAGGTTTTTATGCTATTTCAAGTGACTTCAGATATACCATAACTCTTGTAAAAATAGATACCTTATTAAAAAATTCTAGGGTGCTTCAAAAGTCACTGGTGTAGAACATTTTCTAGGGAAAAAAGAATCCCTATTTATTTGCTACCGGTGTAGTTTCTTGTACCATGAATTTATTTCATATATTGGGTTATTCACACTATATGCTTCTCTAAAGATATATTTGAGGCGTCAAGTTGCAAAAACCGCCTTATCCATTTTTTAAATAAATTGGTATAGTAAATAATATTAATGGTAGATCTTGAATCTAGAGGTAATAGTGCAACAAAAGCCGCCCTTCCTATTTAAAATTGAGTGTAAACCGTTGATACACTTTCATTGTGATTACGGTTACACACACTAGTATGATGTTACTGCAGCCTTATCCATATAACGTGTGCGATTGAGGATTTCATAATTTTGGGAACGCTGTACTTACTGCATGACAACAGAGAATGGCAATCGCAGAAGAGGAAGAAACTGATTTGAGTATTTAGATTTTTTGTCATACGTTCATACGGGGTTTTATTTTTGTTTAATAGCTACATAAGCTTTATTATTTTTATAATGACAACGTGTTACCAGAGACCTATTCTTGTTATTAAAGCATTGTTTAATACTGTTTGTTCAATTTTATTAAAAAATCACAAATATACCAGCACTATTCGCACCTTGCTGTAGTAAAACCCGCAATATACATCCTACTGCAGCAACACTTGCCTCATCCGTTTTTTTGTTTGTTCTTTCCTTGAAAAATGAAAAAAATACGATTATTTCTGGACAAAACAGATGCAAAATTACAACTCCACACAATGGACTTATATTTTTTTAAATACACCTTGTAACTTTCGGTAAAACGGTTGTTATCTTGAAATAAAGTTTGTGGGATAAGGCGGGTTTTGCAACTTGACGCCTCAATTATTTCTCGATCTCATAAATATGACTTCAACGCCCTGTAACTCAGTAAGGAGGCACTTAAGAACTAATGCTTATGGAACATTTTACTTTATATAATACATTAAAATAAATAAGAAAACACTGAAAAAAAATGAATTTTAGAGGTTATCTGTTTTCTTGAACTCAGAAGTGAGCCAGGCAACCAGAGATTTGACAGCCTCATCTCTGTTTGTCTGCACTTCACTTGCAAGATGGATGCAGCTTTTATTTACTGTCAGTTCACAATCACTAGCTAACGATGTATTCAACTTTACTGCCAACCCATAAGAGATAACAAAACGTTACTGACTATCTGATTAGGTAAAACCGACGTCAGTGAGCGGCGGCACGGGTCCATCCGGTCACCGACTGTCAAAGCAAGGTAGCTCGCTAGAAGGCGCCACCATTCACATCCACACGCCCGAGTGTGCGCACCACGTGCACATGCCGCGTGCGGGCAGTCCCCAGGGAAATGGCGTCGTCGAGTGCGACTTCCACTGCTGCGCGTTACATGAGGAGGGCAGGAAGATAGCGGTGCATAAAAGCGTCGCCACTTCGCCCATCCAGGATGCGCACCAGACATCGCCGCAGCCACCACATGCCAGGCATGTGCGTTTTTTAGGTATGTACTACGAATGCCCTGTATCGATCCCATGATATCAAGCCACTTCCAAAAATCTCTCAGGACTCTAGCACTTTACAGGCCACAGGAAGGCTTATATTCAGTTCGTCCAGAAAAGAGATCGACAGGTGTTCTGCTCAGATCAGCTAGGTAATGATGAAGAGTGCTTCAATAGGAACTTTCTTTTATGTACCGAGTTTCACCATTTTACTAGTGACCGGCTGTGAAGTTTATGTCTACGACTGTGAAATAAGCCCACTCATCCCTTTCCATACAAAAATTTAGCAAACAACTTACTAGGGATTTAGGTTTTTCCTCCTCGGCAACTTCAGTGGAAAAATATATGTTTCTGTTTATTTTATGAACTAAATGCTCATAAATAGCTATCTGATCCGTTTTTTGCCGGAAAGCCTGAATTTTTGGCTCTCGACTCCACATTCCCATCTCTTAAAGTGCATTTCACGACGCCATGACTTCACTCTGCTGCTGCCAGTGGAACTTCTTTCATATGAGATAGACGACTGAGACACATCCTTAGGACTCTCCCTCGCCGGAATACACTGGTGCCGCCGCCAGGAACCGCTGGTTAAGCTATTCATATTGTAATATGTGTCAGGTAACCGACATATCGATGTCTTCAAATAGTCGTCAGGTCAATCAGCCGTCACATATTTCAATAAAATAGGTACCGTCATTTGGGGTGAAATTGATCATCCGGGGTGACATTGTTCACCAAATCATCAATTTATGTATTTGAATTTAGCGCCAAAATCAAATGTACGAACGCACCCCTATCGACTGGTAGTGACAGTAGAAAGATGGCCGATTGCGATATGCACACGTGAACTACAACGGCTCCGTATTTGATGAAAAAACTGCAAGTTGTTAGAGTATTTTTCTGTAAAAGTGATCATCCAGAACTTTGTCAGGTAAGTCAAAATTTAAGTAGGTTTTTATATTTTCGACCAAATATATATGTATGTCTATGCCTTGAGGCCTTCGTGTGTTTTGGTGTTAACTATCGGCTCAACCATTTTGATTTTATCTGTCGTTTTGTTAGGTGGGGTCAGATTGATCACGTATATGGGGCGAGATTTGTCAACTGGTCAATCTCACCCCACGTAATAAATATATTTGAATGTAACCTAATTCTGCTTGATTCATCTAATATTCCGTTGCATGTTTCAGCCATGCCAAGAAAGTACCAACGAAGGCTAGGAGCACGTTCCTACAAGGATTATCCCGACGTCAAGGTCGAATTAGCACTTCAAAAGATTGCTGAAGAAGATTGGTCTATTCGTCGAGCTGCAGCTGAATATAGAATCCCATTTGGCACACTTCGCTATAAATACGTTGGCAGCCATGTTAAGAAAAGTGGAGGTCAAACAGTATTTACATTTAACGAAGAAAAAGCATTTATAAAGGCAGCAAACTGCTGTGGAGAGTGGGGATTTCCTCTTACAATAACTGACTTACGATACTTAGCAAAAAATTACTTAGATAGCCAAGGTCGCAATATTAGCAAGTTCAAATCAAATATGCCTGGGATTGACTGGGTTCGTTCTCTTCTAGAAAGACACAAAGGAGAGATCAGTCAAAAAGTGTCAGCGAATATTAAAAGGTCCCGTGCAAATATTTCACGTGATATCATCGTGGAATATTTTGATAATATGAGAGAAACGCTGAAAAATGTCCCAGCCTGTAATGTGTTTAATTACGACGAGACAAATGTGCAAGACGACCCTGGAAAGCCAAAAATGCTATTTCGACGTGGAACCAAGTATCCAGAACGTATATGCAACTTTACAAAGACAGCAATATCAATTATGATGTGTGGTTCGGCCACTGGTGTACTATTGCCTCCTTACATCATCTACAAGGCAGAAAAAATGTGGCAGCAATGGACTGAGTTGGGTCCAAAAGGTGAGCCTTGTTGTGCTGAAAGATGTTGTGTTCAAGGTTCGCGTTACAATCGAACCCACCATGGGTGGATCGACGCCCAGACATTCACAGACTGGTTTGAGATGACATTCTTACCACATGCAAAACGCTTACCGGGTCGCAAAGTGCTATTGGGTGACAATCTCTCGTCTCATTTCACGGATACTGTCTTGAAACTATGCCAAGAAAATGACATTGCCTTTGTTTGTCTTCCAAAGAATTCAACTCATCTTACTCAGCCCCTTGATGTTGGATTTTTCCGTCCATTCAAAATTGCATGGAGAGCAATGTTATTGAACTGGAAGAAGACGCATTCACAACAGACTTCTATAGATAAAAAAGATTTTCCCCATTTACTGGCTGCTGCTCTTAAAGAAATGGATGAAAAATCAGAAAACGCTATTAAAAAAGATTTGATAGCTTCATTCCAAGCGACAGGAGTTGAGCCGTTTGATCCTGAGCGAGTCTTGCGGAAGATCCCAAGTGAAGATATTGGCAATGATACTGATGGCACTGTGAATAACGTTCTTGTGAATTACTTGCAACAACAGCGTTTTACAGCAGTTCCATCAAGAAGGAATATAAAAAGAAAAAAACTGTCTGTAGAACCTGGCAAAAGCGTAACAGCAAGTACTGAGGAAGATTCTAGCGATTCGGATATAGATCAGCCACTGACCAATGACAACTCTGACGAAGATCCCCTGAAAGATACAAATGACGATGTAGAACCAGAGACACAATATTTCCAACCAGCAGAGAATGGACTTGTGGCTGGAAAATTTGTGCTGGTTAAGGTTTACGGTGGATCAAGGAAAAAAACAATATATCGGTACATAGCTATTATACAGCAGGTGAGAGTAGACGAAGAAGGAAAAAAGGAAATTGACTTATTGGGAATGAAGTCTGTAGACAAATCCAAGAAGATTTTTGCGGTTCAAGACGGTGACGAATTTGTATCAGATATGTCTGATGTCTTAGCAATTCTACCAAATCCGTCCTTAAAACAAGGTGATGGTATCGACAAGTACTTCTTCGAAGAAGTTGTCGACGTTTTTGAAATGAAGTAGCTTATGAATTTTGTTTTCAAGTTCCGTTTTCATTTAACATTTAGGAGAAACGGTTTGTTTTTTATTTGTTTAAAGTCATGTATTTTCACTTCAAAATTAATAAAGGTTTAACAACAATGATTAACTGGTCTTAATTTGAGGAAACAAGGTAATTTATGATGAACAAATCCCATGATCAATCTCACCCTACCTGAACAATTTCACCCCCAAGACTATAAAGAGCTGTAACTTCAAAAATACTTGAGATAGAACATTGGCGGTGAGATTGATCATCGATGGCCTTGTCTGCTAACTGCCTGTAGATTATAGTGTGTGTGAACAATCTCACCCCAAAACGTGGATGAGATTGTTCACAACTTTATTTCCGTATATTTTTTATATTTTAAATTTGAAGTTCGTGATACTTTACTGTTCGATTCCTATCAACTATTTCTATATATTTACACCTCGTTTGGAAGATTTCTCCTAATAACCCCACAAAAATATGAAAAAGCAAATAAATTTTGATCAATTTCACCCCAAATGACGGTATCCAGTGTTGCTGACGTCGTGACGATGGCGTCTCGGTAAGGGAGGGGTCACTGGAAACAAAATTATAATCATATGACGTATTTTATTATTAGACATTGAAGGTGGCGGCCGAGGCGGGCAGTCCGAACACGAGAGCTCCGAAAGCGAAACGGAGAACACCGTGATGGAGGACGAGGCCGTCACCTCCGAAAAGTTCCTGCTACTGATCGATCAGCTGAGCGTCGATCAGAAACGACATCTCACTATCAAAGATATCGGCATCATCCTAGAACGGCTCAGCTCGAAAATCCTAGACGTCGAGCGCCTGGACAGGGAGAGCGAAAGCGACGACTGCTACAACTGGACCATCAAGGCGACTATCAGGTCAGATATTATTCGACAGCATCCTTCATCTACTATAAGGGTTGCTTACTGAATTAAATATCATCCTTATTGCTAAGCAAACACTGGTCTTGATGTGTATACTCTCTTACCTAGCATAAGGTAAAGGTGACCTTAGATACAATGAATATTGACGCATAAGCCGAACTTGGTGGCAGAACTGCTTCAACATCACTCAACTTTCGTCTGATGTTAAAAAAACTGGTCCACCCAAGCTAAGACAGCTGTTTAACCTTAATTAACAACTAAAATGGGTTCACATAAAATATTGAGTTACTTAAACATATATTTTCTTTGACTGAAAAGCAGTTAGATAACAGTTGTGGTGAAACCTTTGGAGGATAACATAAAAAAGTTTCCATAAGGTTTAATGGTATGAAGAAGCATATCTGCTGTTGTCTTTGGAAAACTTCACTTCATAGACGGACCTGTAAACGCAGCTAAATTTCATATATGCTTGAAGTCAATTTACTAGTGTCAATTCCAATTGTATCACCTGAAAGAAACTTTCAACAAGATGTCATACGGCCAAAACCATGAAAAAATGGTTGTAGGATTATATTTCCGTCCTTGACTGGCCTTCCAGTAGCCCTGATTTAAATATTATTGAAGCTGTATGGCACAAAATGAAGCAGCAATTACGAAATGATCCACAACGAAACATTTCTGATTTAAGAGTAAAATTACAAACTATATGGGATTATTTTAAGGCAGAAGCTTGCGAAAACCTTGTTAAAACTATGCAAGCCAGAATTAATGCAGTTATTAAGGCAAAGGGAGATGAAACGAGCTATTGAAATGGTTCATGCGAACATTTATGTGTCAGCTAAATATTGGTGTTATCACTATCAGTTTAGTTTTATAATATAATATCATGTTACTTGATAATAATTTTGTTAATATGCTGCCCAAACAATACATTTTACTGTCTTATAAAGAAAAAAAAATATTTTGTAACCTTAAAAAAATAAACATACTTTAAGATAAAATTAGATCATGTCCGAACTATTTTGTGTTAGGGCTCGTGTATCTACAATGGACAAAACTGAGTCAGTATCCTAATATATAAAACGACAGTGTGATGTTTCCGTTCTGTTCCAGGGGAGACGTGCTTCGCGAGCTTGGAGTGATCTATAATGGCAACTACTACGCTATTTCAGAGCATCCTGGTTACAAAGAAGAAAACGAAGGCATAGTGGAAGAGGCCGAGGAAGAAGAAGAGGAAGAAGATCGGCTATGAGCACCGCCACCTAACGTTCGAAGCTCGAGTCAACAACGCTGCAGAACATAAGAGGTGCCCAGTAATATTACCATGAAAAGCGTGCTCTGTTCAGAAATATTGTCACCATGCTAATTCTCGTCATATTTCATCCAAGGTTAAATAGAATATATAATTCAATTACGGTAAAAATGTCAGATGTTTGAATATAGCGATTAAGGGAAACGTAAGAAAATTCAGCCAAAAATCAACACTTTCGACCACAATACAGATAGATTCCTATGTAATACTTTTTGTGTTGTCACAACAATATGAAATGTCCAGGTTATGTATGGTGAAAATATTCCTATCGCCGCTTAATGTTACTGGGCCAAAACGCAACCGACTGCCATACGTCAAAAAGCACAAACAAGACATTAGTCATATAACAAATGAACGAACGCCGTGAACGAGCGATGGACCTCTGTTGTTGTTGTTGCTGCGCCTGCGCAATGTCACATATCGGATGTGAACTCTGGTTTTTCCTTAGTATTTGTGAAAGGCCGGATGGGCATTGAAGGGTTTTCGCACCTGAGTATAATGTTTTTCCATGAAAAATGTATAGACTGCATTCAAAAGATGTGAAGAAGCCTTGAGATGGTCGGCTAATGTATTAGTACGTTCTCTCTAAGTTTTTTCTAACATACCTACTATAAAGTCTTGTACCAAAACGGAAGAGAAAGGGGTAAGACATTCTACTCCACTGCTTTGTCGATGAAAAGAAAATCCGCACTAGCAGCGGTGTATGCTCTTCATGCTTTAGTACCCGAGTATTGGAGAGGTAAGCTTTTATTTCTTCGAATGACCTCTTATGTTAGTTTAATGATACTTAAGTACAATGTCACGTGCCAAAATCGCGTAACCTTTTTTTTACTATTTTGATCACTTACTAGTAATTTGAATTCCTCTTTATTAATGGTAGAGTGCCCTTTCTTATGCCAAATCCTTTTAAAAGATTTTCTTTTGGTAAATTTCATAGTTTATTGATTGTATAATTTCACACGTATTATATCTTTATTTCTGTATGATTCAGTATTGGGTTGAAAAAACTTTCCTCCTGAGATTGTCGTGTGAGCGCCATTTGTTTAGCCTCCAGATTCTGGGATATTAAGTGCCGAACACCAGTTTGTGGAGTAGTACCCCTTCATACTGTATCTCGCATTTAGTTGACTTGGTTTGGGTGCTACCCCGTCCATTTTCTTATGGGCTTTTAATCTTCGGCGTGGGAAGGCATTGTGGAGAACCACCACACACTCCTCCAGCTTTGTTTTGTAGCTGATATTGCCGGAAGCCACTCCTTCAACGTGACAAAAAAACCTGTTCACATCAGGCCCCAGTTTGTTGCCCTTTGTCAGGTTTTATTCGGGAAGGTGTGCGTCGGGAGGCGATTGGTTTGGTGTGCATCTCAGTAACATCCTAACGATGACAAACACCCCGTTGCTACTGCGATACACGTCAGTCCCGCCCAGTATAGTTTTCTGACGGATCGGCGGCAGTAACACATCACGGAACACCCTATCTAAATTTGTTTTTTTCCTTTGTTTGACCGGATCCTGGTGCCTTGAGTACCTTTCAGTCTTGTGGAACTAAATCTAACCTCCATATAATTCTCGTTGTCGGGGCAATGCTAATTTATCTGGTCGCCCAACATCAGCAGATCAGTTTCCACTTTGGAAGTATTGCCAGTGTGCCCATTCCTCTTCACTTGCACCTTCTTGGCATGATATACCGTTCGTTTACTTAGGTTTAGAGTTATATATATATATATATTTTTTTTTTTGGTGGGAATTTTTGTGTGAGTTTGGATATTCACTTTGATTAAGTATAGTCAGTTTGATTCTTGTCTCTATAGGTTATTGGTAGCTCAGCATTATTTATTATTCGGTTATCTACTCTGTAGATACTCTCTTACTCCAAAGAGAGGGGGGTTGTCAAAATCACGTAATCTTTTTTATACTATTTTGATCACTTACTAGTAATTTGAATTTCTCTTTATTAATGGTAGTGTGCCCATTTCTAGGGAAAACCCTTTTCAATGATTTTCTTCTGGTAAATTTCACACGTGTTATATCTTTCTTTCTCAGTGATTCAGTATTGTGTTGACAAAAAAAAACTCTGTGGTTTTTTTCCGTTATTTGGTGTCCTATCGAACATATCTCTTGCGTTTAGTTGTTTTGGTTTGGGTGCTACTCCGTCCATTTTCTTATGCGATTTTAATCTTCAGCGTGGGAAGGCATTGCCGAGAACCACCACACACTCCTCCAGCTTTATTTTGTAGCTGTTTTGCAGCTGATATTGCCGGAAGCCACCCCTTTCCCTTAACAGCAATCTAGTCGATATTGAGCCTTGAAGCAACACAATTAGTAGATAAGTATATGCATCAGTTGGATAAATCTATAATAATGCCTTCAGTCAAACTCATCATTTTTTTAAGGTCACTGCATTAAGTTAGACCTCCTCACAAAAATTGTTCAATCTTGAAAGGGCTGTCACTATCTGAAAAAAAAAATCACAAATGAAGCGTCTTTTTTTTCGAGAACAAAAGCCAAAACTGCCTGCGTATTATTGAATCAATATATGAATGAGAGAGAAAGAGGCTTTCCTGTAACTAAAATAAATGATTAGCAGTGTATGTTTCAAGCCGTTGATTTTTCAAATCAACCTCTTGCAAAATGTTCTTGAGTTTTATTCATTTGGTTTTAGATTTTGTGTGCTCTTAACACTGAAAGATTCGGAGGTACGAACACCACATCGCTGAAGCATACACACGAAGATCCACTTACCACTCTTCTAACATAAGTAGGTGGCTTTTAAGGTTCTGCGGGCAAGAAACATTTCCATCAATAACGTTTCATAAATTCTATCAAGACAGACACGCTCGTCACTCTCTAGTAATAGAATGACAGGAGATTGCTCTTGTAGTTGAAGAAACTGAGAGGAGACACTCAAGGGACAAAATGTAAGGGACAAGGAAATAAGGCATCAATTGCAAATAATCTTATTTAGTTCCTCTTTTAATTTTCTCCTAAACAAACTGTATGCTTTGTTATGCTCCTAACTTGCGAGGCCTCACTGTGGCTGTCAATCATTGCAGGCAGGAAAATTCATATCTGTATTGTGGGATCGCGATGATGCAAGAATTGAAATGAATGACACAGCGGTGGTTAGCAGCGGTAGCCGACAGGGCCGAAACTACGGTGGTGACTCGCACTTAGAATCTGAATAGTCGAGGAGAAAACCTCGCATTCGTGGAAGGAATTCTCCGACTATTTTTCTCAAGATCAGGATTGTGAATGCTGCACGACATGAATCAAAAGGTTGTCGGGCTGTAACGCGGATTAGGATTAGGATTATTTTGAACAATGCCATATGCGATTCAAAATCTGAAAAATCTTAAAAATAATAATCTCCAATGTCAAAAACTTTGTCAAAAATCATTTTTTAAGGTTACCTGTTGTCTAAATAGAAGTTAAAACCTTTCTCTACAAAACGCTAGAGTATTTTAAGTTTAGGTTACTCAAAATTAGAGTTATGTCATTGTTAATAATGCAGTATAGCACAATTGAATAACACTTTATGATAAATTCAGTCTAAAATACACTTCGGCGTCTTGCAAGGAAATGTTAGAGTCTCAATTTAGAAACTTGATACATTCAAAAAGAATAATTTTCAATCTAGTTTTTAACCCTTTCATCAGGCCCGCTCAAAGACGCCTCCGGTAGGGCGTGGTGCGCCTGAGAGGCTACACTGCCAAAAACTGCCAATCAAATTTATGCTACGCCATCATTTGTCACATGCAAAAATTGCCGACTTCTCAAATATGAACCGGACTTTTGTTTTAGTAATTTTATTGGTATAGTAAATGCAAGTTTATTTTTCTACAGAATCTCCTTTCTTATTGATGCATTTTTCCCATCGGATCGGAAGTTTTTTAATTCCCCCATCAAAGGATGAAGCTGGTCAGTAGCTAATTCGCCATCGTCAAAGTGGTGACATCCCAGGTCTTCTTTAAGTTGCCCAAACATGTGATATCCACTTGGCGACAAATCAAGGATGTAAGGCGGGTGTTCAAGTGTTTCCCAATGAATTTCGCGTAATATTTTCTGTGGTCAATGCAGCTGTGTGCGGCAGAACGTTGTCATGGAGCAGAATGGCACTTCGAATAGGCATTTTTCGCCGATAGGCCAGTTTCACCTCTTTAAGCAGTTGGCAGTAGTAAGCAGCATTAACTGTATGGCGACCGCGAAGAAAATCAACTAACAGTACACCTCTGCAATCCCAAAATGCCGTTGCAAGAACTTTTCCTGTAGAAAGACTGGTCTTGGCTTTTCGCAGGGTTGCCTCTTCAGGCTTTCGCTACTCCATTGAAAATTTTCTTGCCAGTCGTTCACACTGTCCTATCGCGGAACTGAGCTGTTAATAGACGCAAAATTTCGGAAGGTTTTACGCCCTCCCGCGACAAAAATTTTATGATAATGCGTTACGCAACAGACATAAGCAACTCTTGCTCAGACATGATGCTACTAACAGCTCATCTACTTTGGCGCACCAAAGTGACTGACTCCCGTCGTCCTGACATGCCCACCTAACATATACCAAGACGTCGCCCCACTCCATTCACCTATGGCGCGTTAAACAGGAAAGCCCGGTTCATATTTGGTCCACCTTCGTACGAAGAGGTATAATTGAAAACTCATTAATTATATCCCAACAATATCATTGAATGTGAACTAAGCTGCCACAGCTGTGGCTAGCATTTTGATCGCGCCCGATGGAAGGTTGAGCATTGAATACTGCAATTTTTAGAGGTTCAATAACCTCATAAAGTTAGTTACTAAGGACATTTTTTCTTCAGTACGATTCGAAAAACTTTGCTCGGTGAAAAAAACAATTTTTTGTAATTTGATTAGAAATCTTTGTACCGGGTTACTGCTCTTACTAAAGGTCGGCCAACGAACATGATTATGGAAACGAGTAAAGACGGAACATTTCTCCCACGAATGCGTCTAAAATTTGAATTCGATTTGTTGGATGCCTCAGTGTGTGAAAACTCCTCTGCCTGTCTCTCGGCCGGAAGCATTATAAACGCTATAACAAGTGAAAATCGCGCGTGCGGGTCGCGTATGCCGCGCGCGTATCGTCGGACCGACCGAGCGTATCTGGCGGTCCAACGGACAGACAATCTATAGTCGTACACACACTACTTCAAACTACTACTCAACGGAATATAACTACGGCAGAAAACAGTTTTTTGTATGAGAGAGTTTTGATCCTGTTGATGATAAAATACACACTCGTGAATACCTTGTAAATCAATTCCCTTGTAGGTAACAGCTGAGAGCTTTCATGGTTGTTGATGTTTGTAATCGAAATGATTTTGTTTGCGAATTGTTTGTCTTCTAACTGTTAAATAGTCGCTTATATCAAGTGCTCACAGTTTTTTCTACAGAAAATGGAACTACATAAAGGTTTCACCAATAAATAATAGGTACAGAAAGGCCAGTGAAGCTGACTGGAATAGAGAGTTTTGGGCGTCACGAATAACCATTAACGATCATCTACAGGTATAATCAATTGACTCCTCATGACGTACATATAAATGTTAAGTGTTTACGAACTCGCTATTCGTGAACAGTAAAACTCTCGAAATCCATTTTTTTTTTTCAGCTTAAAGTAAAGAAAATTAAGGACCTTTTGGAAAAATGATATAACATAAATGCCAGCCTCTGGAAGCCGTACAAACCTGAGCATTCTTGACATTCGTCATTTCATTAGCTGTGCGATACATTGCTCCATCCTGCATTTTTGAATTGTAGGAGTAACAAAGCAAATTACCTGCATCATTTCAAAATAATATTCTGATGGCAGTTTGCAAGTGTTTAGTGCCGCTGGTGAGGGTTATGATGTACATGTTGCTTTTCAGAAAATTCACCAACTTATGTGTATCACGCAGAAAATTCTGTTCCAGCAGGATGGAATAACATATTACAGAGCTATGGACGTAATGAATAGCTTGTGATGAGTGTTTTAGGGCGTTTGTTCTTCCTATTGGGTGATGTTAATCTGAGAATATTTCTAAAAAAAAATAATGTTTATGAGCATAGAGCAGCTGAAGAGTAATATTAGATAAACTATTGAAAATACTCTTTCAGATATTTAACAAAATATGATGGAAAACTTGGTCATGAAGTTTCATTCTGCGCAGTTTCCAGAGAGTAGGCAGTTCGATGATTATGATGAGCATTTAACAGAAAAGAAGTGGTAAATTAATACGTGAATCTGATATATTCAGACAATAAATTATGATAATGGTTATTACTATCATTACAAGACGCTAAATGGCTATAGAATAGTAATACATAGTCGTAATTCCTTATTGTCTCAGATATTGAATGCGATCAGATAATCCAAAGCAACCCAACGGAGAAGCAGTAGCCATAGGGTAGATTTGCCAATTCGACAGCAGTTTTCACTTGTTTGTCAGATAAGATAGATTGTTGATCAAATGCGAATTGTCAAACATGTTCCATTGCTATTGCTATTCATCATTAAAAGTACTGCACTGCTTGACCGCTTCAAGTTGGCTGTATGTACTCATTGTGTTTTGGTGATTCACTCCCCGAAATTCAGTAATTAAATGGTTATTTAGCAGTGAGAAGATTATCGCAACAGTCTTTATAAAACAGTTGAAGATTAGTCAATTTCACAAGTCTTGTCACTCTAAAAGAATGGTGAGTTCATTTAGCTCGAAAATCGTAAATGAGCATTTTAGTTCATGTAACATAAACTAAGTTTTCTATCATTTCTGGAAAATTGGTATGCTGAGAGAAATTTTAGTTGTGTCAAGATAAAATTGGAAAATTCAACCATTAAGCAATCATCCTACGAAAATGATGGTTTGGCTAATGCTGTTTTGGGATCGGGGAAACTAACAGAAAATCTGTCAATGGAATTCTAACTCTGATATTCCCTATTGGTTAATCTTCAGTTTGCGGCCGAGTAACGGTGCTTTTTCAGCTCTAAGATCAGCCTTTCAGCAATGATTGAGCATAGTTTCTTTCTAAAATGGCAACTTGCAAGGTTGACGGATCTTCAACTGTACTAAGTAGTGAAGTATCGTCGAAGCGGTATGGTGTTGACTTAAACAGAAGCCGTGGCGTGACGACGAATATTGTGGACTTTTTAAAACAATTTTCTGGGTCAAACTAGACCCCGATCTAGTTCATAACTGCTTTATACTTTTTATAATTATTATGGTCATCATTACGTGAATTGTACTGGAGATGTAGACGATGATGGTTAATTATTTTTAAGAAATCATTGGTGATTCTTCTGTCATGGTTATGCCGTTTTGCATGAACGATTCATTGAAAATATGTGCCAAAATATGTAACCTTGATGTTATCAATTTTGTAGTAGACTAATTTTTAAAAAAGCGCTATGCCCTAGCTATGCTCAATATAATTTTATTCCTTTATTATTTTTTCCTTAACACGACAATGAAGATAACTCCATGTAACAAAAGTGCCAAACATTCTTTCACGTTATTCTTAGTGCCAAAGTTGTCAATATATGCTCAAAGAACCGTAAGAATGAGAACCTAAGCTAGGGGCGACTTACATTTAGTCATAGCTTTTATTGTCCTACTTATTACAAAATACTTTTCCAACTAGAAGAACAATTGCAATACAGATCGGTTAGTTTGTGTGTGTCTAATTGGGATAAGTGGTAGCATAGCGACTGCTAAACCTCGCCCAAATAAAGACATTATTATTATTATTACTTAAATGTAGTTTATTCCACTGTAACGTCTATAGTCTGCTATATAAATTGATAAATACTTGGGTTTTGTACACGGCATCTATGACAGAAAATATTATTCACACATGCAGTATAGCAAAAATGAAAAAGAATGATAAGCAGTTTGTTAAGGGTATATAAAATACTGTTTCTAATTGAGTTACGATTGTACATTGCTCAATTAACCCTTGTTTTTTATATTTCACTTTGATCCATTTGTTGTGATATGATAGATATATTTAATAAAATGACCGTAATCATAGTAAATTTTTCATGAGAATGGAAAGAATTGTAGGTCTATATTAGATAATTTATATATTATATATACAATTTAAATTAACCAACAATAAGTGCAGGATGAGTGACATGAGATAAAGCAGCTCTATCACTATGGCAGACAGTACAATTTGGATTAACACATTATATCCTATATATTGGCCCACTGGAAATAAACATGTTGCATCTGCTGCTTAAAGAAAAAAAAATTAGTTTGGTAAATAGCGAGATACAAAAAAAAAACTATTAATAATTGTTCTAACACCTCTAAAACAGTAGAAAATCTTACTGAATTAATTACAATGTACAGTTGAGAAAACTGTGGAACTCAGACGCTTAATCTCAAGGTCTGTTTTATATCGATTCAAAATTTGTGCCAAATGGGTGATGATAAATTTGATATCATTTGATACTTAATTTAAATGCTTTAGATCTGCTGTTTCCATGAATAGTCTCAATGACAGTTTGAATAGAGTATCAGTGTCAAGGTAAAAGAGTTGGAGTTTTTGTAACAAAAGTGGTTTCAACGACTGGCTAGTGAAAGGGCAATAGTTCAAAGACAACATGGTCGAATTATCAGTCATAAAATCATTAAATTTCCACAGCCACTGGGATGTACGCAAAAAGTCATCATCCGCTCGAAGTCAACTGCCATAGTGACTGGACTTGAATAGTTGTCATCAAATGATCTAGACAGTGTTGTCCCGCCATTTGTCACTTTGTTAAGAGCGATCAAGCAACCACTGGATCAATTGATGGCTAGAGTTGCGTCAAGGTGTGCGTCAGTCGCGTCTCACTAAGATAGGTAATGTTTCATACCGAATTTCATGCGCCAAAAGTAACAGTATTAATCATCAGATGATGAAGGTGTCAGAGTACTCTTTGATGTTCTAGTTGCTGCTTCAGCTGTTTATATCAGCACAATATTAGCTTACTTTTAACATGTTCCGATCTTACTTGGAATTTTCATCCTTTATATTTTTTTTTCTACAATTTCGGAAAAAAGTCAGGCTATTCATTTAACAGAGTTGGCTAGTGTACGTTTTATTCTTCTTATAGACTAATGTTAAAACAAGTGATTTTAGTTGTTGCATCCTTCCGTTCGTATTCTTTAAATTCGCTACTCACTTCGAATGAACGTACGTCTTTTCAGCTGAAATAACCAATCATCAAAACACGTAACTACCCTGACTAGCCATCTTCTTGTCGATTCGTTAGTCCAGCAATAAATGGCGTACCTTCGACTGAAGTGGGAAGAATCGGATTTAACGAATTTTAATCATGGATCATTTTTTTCAGTCGACAAAATGCAGCTAGGGTTGAATAGTTCCCATTGGTGGAAAGGCTCCATTTTTTTTTGAGTCGCTGCAACGGCTACTGTTCCAAATGTCAAATATAACAAAACTCATAAATGTAGATGGAGATATAAATTGGACACACGTAATTAATCTTTTAATATTTTGAGGCAGTTTTTGATACCTTTAATTCATCTGCTCTCCTTGACGCATCTCTAAAGCACGCTGTACATATACGTAAGGTCGTTCACACACAGAGGGTGAAGAACATAAACGGAAATACTTTCCTCGCTTAGGCGTAGGAGGTAAAAGTGGGCGTGAATTCCATCCCATATATTATGTTCTAAACTCTAAAACCACTGCCAAAATAATGTTATAAAAGTAACTGAATATTACAGAGACTATTACTAAAAACGTGTTCGTGTTAGTGTTGTTTTCATGATAGCTCCGAAGTTAAGGGCGTCTTCCGTGTGAAAATGATTGATTTCGGGGAGGGGAAATGTTGGTGATGATGGTTCGATTTTTGCAAATTCTTTTGGTAGAAGATGTGAGAGTTTTTACAGAAAGACCACGTGGCTAACCGCAGAGTTGATCTTGCTGTTGCAAGCTGGAGAAGGAGAACACTATAATCTACCATATACTAGTGACTACAGAGTATTTCTTAATGATAAACAGTGACTCAAAGTGCACATTTTTAAAAAAATCTTGGCAGTGAGTTCAAAAATTGGATAAACGAAGTTTTCTATGCCCCTCATAGCACCAGCAGCGTTTGAGGTTCCCCCAGACCCACGCAATTAATCCGCTGCGATATATCCTCGCGAAATTCGCTGCGAAAAGATTTAAAAAGAATTAAAATATGTTCTCATCAGATGAAGAAGCAATTTTATTTCTTGGAGGAGGAAGAACGGTGTAGGTATGTGTTCCTTTCAATATCTATGTCTTAGTTAAAAAAATATATACTTAAATATTTACAGGAAGCAAAGAAAATGGTGTCATAAAATTAACTTGGGAAGGAAGGAATGCGGGGAATTCCAAACATTGAAAATCGCTTCTTTATATACTTTCGAATGACAGGTGATTGCTTCGATGAGATATTAGATTATATTAAAGGAGACAGTACAAAATGGATACGAATTATCGGGAGGCTATTTCTCCAGAAGAAGGGCTTGCCATAGCTCTGAGGTAATCATAAAACGATGTATTTAAGTATATTTTTAATTATTATCAATATTTAAAAAAGGTGCACAGTTTAGGTATTCCCGGCAAAAATGCTTTAGTATTAAACAAAAAAGCCATATTCAGAACGTATGAAATAGAAACATGTTAGTGCTTAAAAGCTGAATGATAACCGGAAACCTCCCCACCATGGCTTTGTCCTTGAATAGGGGTCCCCAATCAATGTAGAGTTCTGAGAATGTCCGGACATCCAATTAACATTTTGGATGTTCATCGTCGTCAATTCAGTATAAGCTTCAGCTGGAGATGAGCAGCTGTCGTAGGACGTGAAGAGATTTCGCCAAATGGAGTGTATTGTTCCTCAGTGTGCAAAAGCTCCTGCTCCATTATAATTTCGGCTATTGCGACAGCGAATAAAAACCGTGCAAGCAGCGAATTAAAATGAACACGCTGTACTGTCGCACCGCTCCTGATCGGTTCTTCTATATTTACTTCTGCAAGAGCAGTCTCTGAGCGTCAATGTCGCCGCGAATTGATCGCGTCGGTCTGGGGGATCATTTACTCTTTAGGCTGCTGCTTGCTCGGCTGATTCTGTGTAAAAAATATATAAAAATATGCTTTAAAAATTCTGGTTCACAAGGTACACAGTGTCATATTGTTTTTACTAATAGCTCAAAAATCCTTGTGCCGATTTTGTTGAATTTTGGTAGTGATGTTTATTGCAATTCATGTGACGTGACATGAATAATACTGACAAAAGAACTTATACTACTATTAATCTTAAAAAAATATTTTTTTTTTCGAATTAGCCAGTTCAAGATACTTTTTTGTTTCTGGTCTTCAACAAAATTGGCACAACGATCTTTTAGGTATTAATAAGAAACCATTTATTTAATCTTTGCCAGCCTGTGTCTTGGAATCCAGACTTATTAGGACATATATTTATATGAACTTTGCTACTAAAAGGTTCAGCAATGCGCCTATCATTAAGTAACATCCTGTATAACAAAAAAAGATGATTTCAGAATTCAAGTAATTCTTGCTTATTGTTTTTGAAGCCAGTGATCCTAAGAATCAATAATAACTGTGTCGTTAAATCGACTTGGTTACTAGTCAAGCATCTCCATACCACTCATCAACTTTCTTTCTAGCCCTCCCTTAGGCAGGGCAATTCCTGTCCTTGTCATCGTGAGGAGGTGGTGTGATTGCAGGGTTTAGGTTTTTTGTGAGTCTATTGTGGCTATAATTGTAGGGAGTACTGCTCTCTTTATGATAATTTCAATGTTTCCGAACAGAAATGAGATGATGGCATATATTGTGAAGAAAGCTTCAGAAATCTGACCATAGTTATCACCTTAAGCCGTTTGACATTAAAATTGCTCCAGTAAAGCCTAAAACTGGTAAGTATGTCATTAAAAGTCTTCATGAACAAATCCTGTGAATACTGAATAATTTGGGATCCAGCACGCTTGCGAAGAAGAGAGTTAACCATCTAAAGTCCAGTTATAAGTTCATACCTATTGTTTGTTCAAACCTCATTTACTCCGTGCCAAAATAAACATGAGCACCCCATCGCAGCTTTTATTCGTTTGCAACTGTCTGCCCAGGCGTTTATTGTCATCTGGCCAATAAGAGCGTGCGCATCTGAAAACCACGTGCTGGTGTTTACACGTGGAGAGTTGAATACACTATAATTGATTAACGTGACAAAAAGCTTTTTTTGCAAAATACAACTTTCCTTTATACATATGCTATATTAGACTCATTGACCCAAGCGTTATGTATATATTCAGAGAAGATTGTAATCAAATAAATGAGCGGTTAACGCCCGTATTCACCAATGCTGATAACAAGTTGTCACAGTGACAGTTTCTTTAAGAATCCAGAAAAATTTTTTCGTGTTCACCAAATCATGTTAACGGATATCGGACGCATAAAACTCCCGTCAACTAGTGATGTGCTTTCAGTATATTTCGGTGTACTAGTTCAAGAGGTCGCATTCACTAAAAGTAACTAGTTCTAAGAACTAGTTCGCGAACGAACTATTTTAAGCAACAATACCACACAACCTTAATGGGTGATAGTTTGTATAAAAGTTAGCTAATTATTTCTTTTAGCCTTTGTAACAGCATTTGTTATTACTTTTTTATCAATTTATTTGTGCGCTATCCAATATTTTTGAACTAAATAGCGATCGTAGCTCTGCTTACTTGGCTGCCTACGTTGGTATCCCGTATTGTTCTCATTCGTTCGTACCCATCTAGTTCGCTTGTATCATCCGCACTGCTATTATATGAAAAACCGAAGAAATGTCACTTTTTAAGATAGGTAATACCCGTTGCGGAATCCTGTAATACGTTCGGAGTGAATGAGTAAACGGGTTTTTCAAGGAATGATGAAGTAGTTCACTTCGTTTGCATTAGTTCGTTCGCGAACATCACTACTAACTTTTAGCCCAGTTTAAAGTAGATAAAAGGTTGAGGCCTGACAAAATGTCAAAAATGGATTATATAGAAAGCCGTCTTAAATGATTCGGAATAAAAAAACGTAGGGGCACCTGGACACCTAGGAGCTCGGGACTTGCAGCTGAAGGGGTCCAGTGCAGAGCAAAATTTCGGATCCTACTTTGCCAATGGTAAAAATCTAAGAGATTCAGACATTTTTGGTACTTTGGGGCATTTTGACGCCTCCATCAAGCTTGGGCCCTGGCTATGTGCCACTTGTCCCCAGATGGTAAAGACGGAATAGTATATAAACACTTTCATCTGTATTGCATATCGACAGAATGGGTCGATAGATATCGATTCCAGTTCTCCATCATCGTCCGAGTTCTTTGCAAGCAAAAACGATGCCCAACAGCATCGCAAACGGACTCTACAAAGTCTAAACGATTTGTGCAACGGTTAAAAAACGGTTCAGTAAAATCGTTTCCGAACAATCAGCAGAAGAAATCCTGTTTTGAATACACTTCGGTTTTAGCCTTTGGATCATTTGCACTAACTGTCGGAGAACATTTTTATGTATCAAAGTCCACAGTTTCTCGATTTATTCCCTCTCTCACACGACATGTTGGCAGTTCAAGTCCACGATTTATTAAAACGCCCTAGGCTGAGCAGGAACGAAGACTTTTTGCCAGAAACCACTTTTCTTTTTATTCAAAGCTGCCTTTGTCTTTACATACCTTCCCACCAACCGGATGAGCATATTTTTCTCTCGATATGCATAATCAAAATTAGCAAGTCACTTCCTTCCCATTTTTTAACACTGCTGGAATTTTCAAATTCCACTACGTTCACGCCATTAAATTAACTTGCCTTATGGTGATGTTGGATTTGATAATGTATAAAGCTGACAGCATTAGGAATGCAACCTACTCGCTTTCGAGTACACAGACGATGCTTTCCGAATGGTGCGTGCTATTATTAATTATCGGGAACACAAGTATTAACTAGTTGATACTTATCATTGCGACTTGTTGTTTGGTGGTTTGGTGAATATGGCGAAAATACTCATTAATGATTTTGATGGACGACTACCTATTCACTGCTGCAGTGTTACATCAGGTAGGTACTCCAGACGTAGCGATACTTAACCGATAAATAATCAACAATGCACATTCTTCGTTGCATAAAAGAGGGCATATCATTTAAAACAACAGAAAATATGATGTGGTAAGATGGCTGAGAAAGATATGTATCAAAGACATTTTATTGTCAAGGAATGAATAATTTCTGGTTGTAAACGAAATGAATATCAGAAAATAAATATCTCATTCTCCATCTACTTTGTGCTGATTTTTAAATCCGTTGCATCATTGCCCTGCACTATGGACACTGGATAAAGAGAGAAACAAATCAGTGGATTTATAACAAAAAAATATATACATGAATCAATTGATGTGAAAACCGGGGAGGGGGGATATAAACCCAAATCCTTCCTAGATCTGCCACTGTGAAAACAGGGAGTAAAATCCTGGACCTGGAAGGGTCATTCACACGCGCGTGCCTGTTCTGCCGCGTGGCACAGTGCCCTAGTGCCCTACATAGCTACATCTGGGACAGTGAGTTGCACGTTGTTGCCGTCTTCCATTCTTTTGTATAGGTTTCATGTGTATTTCGAATCATTTATTCTTACTGCTTTGCGTTACAACTTTAGATGGAGGTGTATCAAGTTGGCCATTATTAAATTTAATTAGTGAGACGTAATTAGCTGATAATCCAATTATATTAATTAATTAACTAAGACGGTCACAATAAAAGTTTTTAATTACGATGTCAGCTAGTACATATAGAGCGGAATTAGTGATGACATTCCAATAATAACTTAAGAATTTGGTTGAAGCTGAGTAACCGAAACCACTAATAAGACAAAATAGTCATATATCGAGCGGTACCGATTTGAGAAAAGGAT